ATTATTTATTTATATAATCATTATCGATACTATTATTATGGAACATACCAATTCAACCGTGAAATAATGCGGGCATTAGGATACTGGCTCAATTGTAGTTCTGAAAACTGTCCAGCAGATGCCGCCATTCCGAACTGTTTCAAATGTATTGAGCATGATGTACAGTTTTTTTTTTTCCAAATGTGTGAAATTGGTTTATTGATTCCTGGGGCTTCGAATTTGCCATCACTACCTGGAAGAAATGTTGCAAATAAAGTTGCCTTCAGCTCTTGTTGCAGGAGAGCTGTATCCTGGATCGTCTTATCTTTGCATTTAAGAGGAATTGCTGTTCATGTACAACTTTTAACAAGAGTCAGTGGGCAAAGATTTCTGCGCGCTGTTAAAGATAGGCTCGGTGTCTGCACCCTGATGCTCTATCTTTCCTGTTCTTTTTCCTGTAAAGAGATCACTCGGGACAAACTCTTTAAATAATACTTCATAACTTATATGTATTAAATAACCAGGAGACATGACAACAGATTTTGATAAAAATTGTAATCTTAAGCAGATCAGAGAAATAGCTTAGGGATACAGAATGGCAGCTGCTCACCTCTGGGCTCACCCCTCAGGAAGTGGCCCCGCAGGGTGTGATAAACTCACACATCTTCAGTTATATTTATCCTAACAGCACAAGGGCAAAAACACATCACAAATCCGACGACAACAAGACAGCTTTACTCGTCATGAAAGAATGACTGAAAGAATGTTGCACATTTATTTATATATAGGTGTACAGGTGTAACACTGGGACTGTTCAGAAAAACACAGGTGGTAAAGGAGGGCCAGGTCTAAATGGCATTTGAATAATATCTGGAAGCAAATCACCCAACCAAAAGCCTCTTCAACCTCGATGGCAGGTGAGGCTTTAGATATGTATATGTCCTTGACATCTGCAAAAAGTACACAGTTCTGAATTTTCTGGTCCTGCGTCTGAAAAACTGCTCAAATAGTGGAACCTGGTCCCATGACTTCTGTTATAATATGTATGTTATACTATCTTTTTCAGTCTGTAAATTCTTAATAAAATAACAATTTTATTAAAGAGATTCAGATTTTATTGAAGAAATTCAGGTTCAGGGTTCCATTTGCTTCACAGGTCTATACTGTCCCAGTTCTCCGGATTTTCGCACTTGTTATCTGCAGAATCAAACCTTAAATGCACATCCTCCATGTGCACACTTCTAAAGGCATGGAGAATATTCTCAGGAAGGCACCACATTCTGTATCTACGGAAATGACCCAAATCACCTCAGGGCACTGCTTTGAATCCCTGCTCAGGAAAGGATAGACTTTTTATCATTTTTTTTTTATTTTTTTTTGGACTTGATGGTGCTAAACTATGATGAATTACCAGTAGATTTGGCAATGCACTTATTGGGCCCTTCAAAAATGTCTAATTTTACAGTAATGTACAGTAACGTAATGTTTCTTTTCCTTTTTTTGCATCATAGTCTGTACTTTCCTGATAGACTGCAAAACTGAAAGTTCCCTTAGAAATAAAGACACCCTTGAGTCTAAATCTAGTGCCGCTTTTAACTTCATAGCCTCAAAGAAGCACACTTATAGATAAAAGGACACTCAACTTGTCCTCCTATGCATGTTATCAAGCAAGCAGGCAGAAAAAGGGCTGGGCTTTGCACTTTGCGCTAAAATATATCCTTCTCCTCCACAGACTGGTGTCCTGAAGATCAATTTGAATGACTGACAACGAATGGACTGAATATCTCTGCAATGGGTCCCCATCAACGGCAGCCATCAGCACCACTACGGAAAATAAAACAGCTTTTGGGCTCCAGTCTTCTCATCACCGTCCTGTTGATTGTAGTGTTCAGTGGGACGTATAGGTGGGTGGACGTCCTTCTCTAATCTGAGCTAGATCTAACTGTTCAATCAATTGAAAAAATACTAAGGATCAACAGTCAGTTTTTCCACTGAGCATAACTTTAAGATAATCTAAATGGTAAATGGACTGTCATTATATAGCACCGTTTTGCATACAGCCACACATTCACAAACACATTCACATGTGATGATGGTAAATGCTGGTGGTCCTCAGTATGCATTCAGTATGTATTATTAACGCTACACACTAAGAGGTATAATGTTGTGGCCCTCTCTTCATTGTTGCTTAGGTTTATTTTAAATTGCATGCCTTTGTGTCTGCTCAGTTCTTGTAAGGTCCCTATAGATTATTTTATCAACTTAATGACTGGACTCTGACTGCAACTGCACTGTTTTTATGGCTTAGTTTATGGCAGCTGCAGTATATGTACAGCTGAGAGGCATAGCCTATACATATGTTCAACGGAAGGGCCCCCTGGGAGAGGCACTTTGGATAATATTATATAACCAGGGTGACCAGATGTCCCGAAAAATTAGGAATTGTCCCGAATTCTAAGCTTATGTCTGGAATCCCAAATGTGGCTGTGTGTGTCCCGAAATTTAAACTTATACAAACTTATATAAGGATAACTTTTTAACCCCAGGTACACATCTCAAACTTTTAGCTACTGCCGGCTGTGCTTGCACAGCCCCAAATATGTCGAGTGGCTGCATGTGGCCCCGGCTACAATGTATCTATTTTGTTATCTTTTTGACATTCTAATTCCATTTGATTGCAACAGTAAGCACGATTAATGACCATCGCAAATTTTCACTTTCACTGATGATAGTGACATGGCAGACGAAGAGCCCCACCATGCGAGTAAAAATCAGAGGCAACAAAGCAGGTATAGGAAGGCATGGAAGAAGACATATTCATAGATTCATTGACAGATGAATCAAAGGCTTTCTGTAAACTGTGCAGAAAAGAGTTTGGCGTTTCTCCCGGCGGAGAGTCAGACGTGCAATTTCATGCTAGTCGTAAACTACACTGTACTAATGCCACAACAGGACAAAGAAATACGCCAGTGTCTTCTTTCTTTAAGTTGTAATCACTTGC